AGTAGGGGGGTAGAAGAGTTTCCCTGGTGTGGTGGAGGTAGTGAAGATGCTAGAATCATCCAGGCGGGTGGGAGGAGAGACAATATACAGGGGGTCATCGGAGTTCCGGTGACTGGCAACAGCCACATGGGTGGGTTACTTGGGTGAGCAGCTGGGGTTGTTCCCATTTTCCCATTGGGAAATATGGTCACCTTAGTTGCAAGTGACTGAAGGATAATAGAGACTGAATAGCTAGTTTCTAATAACAAAGTCTATGAAATTCTGGCCTCACTGAAGTCTATGACAAAGCTCCCATTGATTGTAATGGAGTCAGGACTTATCCTTATCATGGGGGCAGGGGACCTCTATTATTTGATTTTGGTTGATGACAGAACAAGACAGGGTGTACGGCATAAGAGACATAGAGAGGCAATGGAAGCAGGTAACAGAAATGAGTTTCAGAGAGGCCTTGTTTTATTTCCAGAGAACTGAGGGAATAAAACTTCAAGGAAAGGCAGACAGGCAGGATTAAGCTCAGTTTAAACAGCAAGGTGCGAGTTTGGGGCCTAACACTGACTAACGCCTTACAGATACCGGAGAACAACAGTTCAAATGAATTTCAAAGGTGCAACCCCATAAATACTGAAACACGAGCCTGACTTTCTGCACTGTTTCTGCACGTCAAGCTGCCAGCCCTTCTTTTTCCCTCACAGGGAGGTTACCAGGGCATGTTTAAGGTTGCCAGCCCTCCAGGACTGACCAGTAGTCTCCTGGAATGAAAGACTACCCTTTAATTAAAGATTATGTTACAGGAGGAAACCTCCAGGGATACAGCCAAACAACACAGGCAACCCTATGGTTGCAGTGATAGGTGTTCTCTCCACACCTCCTTGGGGAAAGGTTTGTGAGGTGGTGGAGAAGCCAATTAACTGGACAGGCCGCAGCTGAGGGGAATTGGCTGGCCTGAGGAGTCCCTGATTAATGAGAGAAACAGGCAGGGGTAGGGGAAAGTACAATGAGGTGGCAGTGAGGGTGCCTGACACCATACTCTAGACTGGAGAGAGGGAAAGGAAGGAAGGAAGGAAGGAAGCTAGTTGGAGAACATGTACAGAAAGGCTCAGGGGCATGGCTTAAAAATGTTGCAGGCCGTGGCTACCTAGCAGAGGGCCTTGGAGCTGGAACCGGAGGCCAGTAGAGACCTGAGCTCTCCTCACGACCACAGGGGACGAGGCAGAGTTTGGGCTGTGAAGGGAAGGGAGCCTTCTTGGAGGAGGAAAACCCACGGTGACCGGAAGGACCAAGCCAGGCAGAGAGCCCCCTGAGCGAGACAGAGCGGCCGTGCGTGCGAAGGAGCAGCAGAAGGCGTGTTGGGCCTGGAAGGTGCTAACCCCAGTGGTGAGTGGACCCCATGACACAATTTGCACGGACTGGATGGATCCTGTGGTGCACTTGTTTGAACGTGTCTGGCATGACTGCATTGTGGGCAGCTCCTCAGGCCTGGCAGTTTACTGTAAGGAAGGTGGGACCCTGTGTCTCAACGGGATTCCCCCCACCCCAAATGATCCTAGAATCAGGAATAGGAGCAGCCCGCACCTCACTGATAGCTGAGAGTCAGATTGCAAACCCCTCACCCACATCCATGAGCAGTTGTTTACCTGGAGTAAAACTGCTCACCCATGTGACTAAGGGATTTACAGCCAGGTCATTAAAAAAGATTTTCCAAGGGCTAGCAGTGCATGGGAATGGTATAGGAGTCCAGATGGGCCTGGTGTCAGACCTAATTGATGCCTCTATCTCTTCCCTCTCTAGAGGTGTGCACATGCGCTTGAATAGACTCTGCACCCTCTTTGGCTTTATTTTCCATAGGTTTCCATATCCCTGAAGGCTATTAAAATGACCCTGCCTAATTTAGATCCTAATAGAGATGTAACCCTGTTAGTCTTTAAAGTGCTGCATAGTCCTGTCTTTTGTTTCAGCAAGACCAGACTAACAGGATGGTTTATTAGGTGACGAGCTTTCGTGGGCCAGATCCTGTTCTTCCAGATCTCTGTGCCAGGGAATCAAGATCCATTTAGAGTGGAGATTTTTTGACAGTGCAATTAGGTGAGAAGAAAACAAAGGCAATCAGCTAAAAATACACCTTATCTGAACTAAGACTTACCCAACATTTCCTTTGTTTTGTAAATTAAGGAGACTTAATCAGTTGCTTACTCATGGTCCCTTTGTGAGATTGCCTGCAGTGTTGTTACACATGTTGCTAATCAGTGGTAGGAGATGAGCTGTAGAAATCTGATGATGTGGCTACATCTTTAGGGTTTTGTAAATCCATCTTGCTATTTTTTTCCCCCTGGGGATTTATCATCCTGAAGAAATATGTCGAAACTTGTGTAAGCAGTAGCAGCAGGAACAGCCATCAACAAAAGATCCTTTCTGTCTGGCAGAATCATTTAAAAAATAGCAGTTCTCTTCCTACCCCAAAGAGCAGTGACGTGCCGTGTGTGTTCTGAAAACAAACTGAAGAAAAGTGAATCATATTGAACTAGCTTCACAGACACATGCTGTTAGCAGATCCCAGAATAGCAGTCTGTCATGGGAAAAATCTATTGCTGACAGGTAGAGGAGAGAATTGTTTTTTGATTTGCATGAGTCACAATTTAAAAAAAAACCTAATTCCTTAGCTAGTACTTTTGGCCTTTTTTGCTTCCACTCAGCAGACTAAGGAGAGAGACTTCTTTTGTAGGAACAGGCTCTTAAACTCAGATCCAGAAATTTTGTCTATTGCTGTGTCTCCAAATCATAGAATAAAGGAGGATGATTCAGTAGTTTGGACACTTGATTTGGATCTAGGAGAGCTGGATTTTTTTTTAAATCATTTCACTGAAAATGTGTGGTGTGTGTGTGTTTTTTTTTTTTTTTTTTTAAAGCAGCATTTTAGGTCAACCCAAAACTAACACCAGGTTTTAGTGTAGTGGCCACTGATTTGACAAATCAATTATTTGCACAACTGTACTACAGATCCTCCTGTCTTGATTTTTAAATTTTATCTCACATCCTGATATTATTTGTGAAAGATGCCCAAAAGGTAACATGCATTTTTGGAAGACTGCAATAGGACATCAGTTAGTCTCTGCCATCAGTGAAGGATTTGAAAATTTTAAGGTTACTGATAAAGTATTTTGAGGAGGGTACATGACTTGGTAGTTTGAATATGTGGTGTACAGGGCAAAAAATTGATTCTGATCTCACACCATTGAAAAGGAGAAATAATTCCATTGGAATCAACAAAGTAAGATCCATGTAAAACTGGTCTGAGATTAAAATAAAGTTCACCACATTTATGGAATCAAGAACATAACAGCTGGCTGTCCTCTATAGCATGTTCAAAAGGTAACACCTCTCTTCTGCTAACCTAAATTCCCAGAGGGAAGAGCCAGTACATAATTATCCCACCTTGCACCTTAACCCTCCAGTTGTAGATTTGTAACAGGAGAACAAAGGTCATAAATGGAATGCCGTCTAACCAGTTTTAGATTATAAAACTCGTGGGGGTCATCTTGCAGCAGCATCTGTGCAATCCTATTGACTTTAGGAGATGATGAACACCGGTATAAGACGCTATCTAGCCATGTAATTGGGGCCCATAATATTAATTCTAGGGGAATTCTGCAATTGTTGCAATTGGAGCCATCATAAAATTGCAGAATTCCTCCGGGACTGTAATCTATATATTTCTAAGAGAGTTTGTGCATCTTTCTGTCTGTCTGAGTCTGCTCAGGAGCTCCTCCTAACCAGTAAAAGCTAGAACTACCACATTTGGTATTCAGCCTCCTCTTATCATAGTGTACATCTATACTAACCCCCTAGATCTATCTAGGAAGGCTAATGAGGGCAACCGGACTTGTAAATCAAGCCCAGGATTAAATATCCCATTCTTGATTTGCATGTTCCCTGCCGGTCGCCATTTTATAAATTGACTAGCCTGAAGTAAGTGCCCGCGTCTCCATGTGGCAGTGAAACAGGATTTCGGAATAGAGCCCCTAAATCGAATTAGGTGGTATATCTCATTCCACGAGGAATACCACCTAATTTGATTTAGGGCTTTATTCTGGAATCCCATTTCACTGCCGCATGTAGACGCGGGCAGTTACTTCGGGCTAGTCAATTTCTAAAATGGCAACCAGCCAGGAACATGCAAATCAAGCACGGGATATTTAAATTCTGGGCTTGATTTGCAATTCTGGTCGCCCTCATTGGCCTCCCTAGATCGATCTAGGGGGCTAGTGTAGATGTACCCATAGCTTATAGCAAAGTCAGGGATTGGTTGTGCCAGGACAATGGGATGTGCTTGGAATGGGATGGTTTCTTATCCGATGGAAAGGGAGGGCTGTGATAGAAGGGTCAGTTATACTCCAGCATGACCACATGGGGGCAACAAGCAAGCATGCCCCCACTACCCTGACAGCCTTGGGTTAGCCTCAGCGAGCAACACAATTGGCAGGCTGGACAGTGCTGCCTTTGCTCTCCTGGGCTGAGTGGCCCTTGCTGTCCCTGGCCAGCCCCGTGGAACAGCGCTGCCAGCGGGTGGGGTAGCATATCCCCTGCCACCCCGGGATGGCCCTGGAGCAGCTGCTCCTGCCCTAATTCCTGCACCTTCACTCCCTCCCCTATGCCCCCCACACCTTCCAAACCCCCCTGCCCTGAGCCCCCACTCCCTGCCCTGACTCCAGCACCCACCACACCCCAGCCTTGAGTCTTCCACATCCCCAAGGCCCTGCCCTGATTCCTGCAGCCCCAGCTCTGAAGAAGCCAAGCGATACCGGGTAAATCTTCTAATGTATGTTATATACCGGTGAGATTCAAAAGCTGGTTTGTTTATTTTTTTTGTCTGCTTTTCTTGCTGAAATTTATTATCCTGTTCATAAAGTGTCCCTGCTCTGGCTACAAAAACACATCTGCTAAAATTATTCCGTGGCCACGCTGCTGCGTCCCCCGTTTTCGGTGCCAATTCTCTAGACATTTAAAAGTCAATCATCTGAATTTACCATATTATTGAAAAGTTATTGTCACGGTTATGCTGAAAGGGAAATGAAAACTTCCTGTCTCAGCCAGCAGCTCTTCCTGGTAGCACAACTACATAAGACATCCGAGCAGCCTCCCCATTGTATGCGCAAGCAGGGGGGAACAATGACAGGTTTCCTAGAGACCATTCTAAGGGGGCCAACTCCTTGTGGTTTGTGGGGGAAAGGGAGGCTGGTTGGCCAGATTCTCAGGTGATATAATTCAGAGTAACTCCGTCGATCCAATGGAGTTACTCCAGTTGGAGCAAGGCCGACAGGTGTAAGTCCTCAGAAACCCAGGCTGAAGGAGAGAAATTTTGTGATGTGGGCAGGAATTGTTTCAGCGCCCATGCTGTAGCAGCGAGGCAGCTGGGGAGGGGATACAGTGGAGCAAAACACAGCACTTTCCATCCTGAACGCTCCACAGCGGCTTTTAGTTAGCCGCCCTCTGTAGCCGTGACTGGGGCAGAGCCTTGCAGCTCAGCATTGCCAGGTGGAAGTGAAGAATAACTTCTCCAGAGAAGCTATAGGCAGAAGGAATGTAATTACCTAGGACTCCGGGCTATCACTTCTCCACCTGTGGCAAGTGGCATGGGATTTCTAGTGACCACCTTCAGGGCTTTAGTGTGATGTCTTATTTGCAAAGATCACCTTTCACTAGCACTCTCTTTGACTTTTAACATAAGAATGGCTGTACTGAGTCAGTGGAATGGTAGCCCAGTAGCCTGTCTGCCTACCGTGGCCAGCACCAGGTGCCCCAGAGGGGGTGGACTGAAGACAATGATCAAGCAATTTGTCTCCTGCCATCCTTCTCCAGCCTTTGACAAACAGAGGCCAAGGGCACTATTTTATCCCCTGGCTAATAGCCTTTTATGGACTTAACCTCCATGAATTCATCTAGCTCTCTTTTAAAATCTGTTATAGTCCTAGCCTTCACAGCCTCCTCTGGCAAGGAGTTCCACAGGTTGACTGAAGTGACAAGGAGTCCTATGGCACCTTATAAACTAACAGATGTATTGGAGCATATGCTTTCGTGGGCAAAGACCCACTTCGTCAGATGCATGTGTGAAGAGGAACTTTCTTTTATTAGTTTTAAATCTGCTATCCATTAATTTAATTTGGTGGCCCCTAGTTCTTATATTATGGGAACAAGTAAATAACTTTTCTTTATTCACCCTCTCCACACAACTCATGATTTTATAGACCTCTATCATATCTCCCCTCAGCCTTCTTTTTTCCAAACTGAAAAGTCCCACTCGCTTTAGCCTCTCGTCATATGGGACCTCTTCCAAACCCCTAATCATTTTAGTTGTTCTTTTCTGAACCTTTTCTAATGCC